GCTAGCCTGGGCTACATGAGACCCTGTCTAAAAAAGTAGAAAGAAGGGAGAAAGAAAGAACTGCTGATACTAAAAAGATAATTTAGACTTACTAGGTTTTCAATTTACTTTAGCAACGAAGTCCCTTTCCTAATGAAATAATATTCCACAGTAAAAAAAAAAAAAAAAAAAAAAAAAAAAAAAAAAAAACACCAGCTCAAAGCAGAGTTGTGTGGTTAGACTGGATGTAGGAAGTCCTCAAGCTCTGGGCAACATGAGAAATGAGAACAAAAGCCAGCTTCTATAGGCAGGGGGATGGCTAACGGTCACCCTTGTATAGTTTTGGTCTTTAGAGGCTCTGAGAACAGCCAAACATATGAATGAAAAGGAATTAAACACCACTCTTATATAGACTATTAGGAAGGTCTTCTTAGCTCCTCAGGGGTAGATTTTTCTGGTACTGGAGTGCTGGTTCAAAGGTTAAAGGCGTGTACTGCTCTGGTCGAAGACCTGAGTTCAGTTCCCAGCACCTACATCAGGCCACTTACAATTGCCAGTGTGTGTGTGAATCACAGCAGGCCTGGGCGGTCAGAGGGTCACTGGCAGACGTCAGTCCCCCTCTCCCACCACGTGGATCCAGGAGACTGAACCCAGCTTCCCCCCTGAGCCATGTCACCAGCTTGGAGTCCTACAGCCGTGTTCTCAATCAAAAGGTCTGCGTCAAGGGGACACAAAGAAAATCATGACTTCATGAAATAGTATCAAACGAATATAACGGCAAAATTCCAGGCTATGAAAAATGTAAAATGTCCTGGCGATGGTGGCGCACGCCTTTAGTCCCAGCACTCGGGAGGCAGAGGCAGGCACGGATCTCCTGAGTTTGAGGGCAGCCTGGTCTACAGGGCCACACAGAGAAACCCTGTCTCAAAAAAACAAAACAAAACAAAAATAAGGAAAGAAAAAGAAAAATGTAAAATGACATTTTATTTCACTTAATTTTAAGCTCATACTTCTAACAATATTTCATTTACTGTAATTTTTACTGTATTTTTTTCAAAAAGGATTTCAAGTGACCCACAAAAGGAATACATAACCAAACAAACGGAACACATGACAACTGAGACAAAATTCAGGGCCGAGATGTAGGTCTGTGGGTGCAGGACCTGGGTTCAATCCCCACCACCACCAAGGCCGAAAAGAAAAAGAAATTCAAAAGCAATAGAAGAGGTTGGCATGGTGGGATGTGCCTACAGTTGCAGCAGTCAGGAGGCTGAAGCAGGAGGATCGTCATTCATTCAAGGCTAGCCTCGACTACATAGGGAATTTCAGGCCAACCTGGGCTACAGAATAGCACCCTGTCTCAAAAACAAACAAACAAAACCCCCCACAGCCTTCCTGTCCCGGGCATTTTGGGAGTGGCTTTGCCAAGAAGCACAAGCAGAGCATGAAGAAGATGCCAGCAAAGAACGCAGAGGCGGGGAGTGCGGATGCTCAGGCTGCAGAAGACTGCAGCTCCAGCTCCAGTCCAGCCTTAGCCTGGGTTCCAGCTCCAACTCTAGCTCAGGCTCCCAGAGGTGAAGGCCTCTGTCAGTGTGAAGACAGTGGAGTGACTGGGCAGTGGTGGCACACGCCTCTAATCCCAGCACTCGGGAGGCAGAGGCAGGTAGATCTCTGTGAGTTCGAGGCCACCCTGGGCTAGAGAGTGAGTTCCAGGAAAGGCGCAAAGCTGCACAGAGAAACCCTGTCTCCACAGTGGAGTGGTGTGTGACCTTGCCCCCCACTACATTATTTATTAATGGCTAGTGTTCTGAGCTGTTTCACAAATAAACTTGAGGCAAGGTCGGTTTGTTGTTGTTTTTGTTTTTTTGGTTTTTTTTTCGAGACAGGGTTTCTCTGCGTAGCTTTGTGCCTTTCCTGGAGCTCACTTGGTAGCCCAGGCTGGCCTCGAACTCACAGAGATCCGCCTGGCTCTGCCTCCCGAGTGCTGGGATTAAAGGCGTGCGCCACCAACGCCCGGCCCTTATTCTTCTTAAACAATGTCTTACTCACTGTTCTATCGCTGAGAAGAGACATCATGACCAAGGCAGCTCATATAAGAAAGCATTTAGTTGAGGACTTGCTTACAATTTCAGGGGCTTAGCCCTCCTTTATCACGGCGGGGAGTGTGGCAGCAGGCAGGCAGGGGTGCTGCTGGAGAAGCAGTGGAGAGTACCATATCCTGATCCACAGGCAGCAGACAGAGACAGACACGGGGCCTGGCATGGGCCTTTGAAACCCCAACACACACGCACGCGTACACACACACACACACACACACACACCCTGCCTCTGCCGTGACAGGCAGGCTTCCTCCAACAAAGCCTGTGCCACACCTCCTAATCCTTCTCAAACCGTCTACCAACTGATGATTAAGCATTCAAACACATGAGCCGATGAGGGTTATTTTCATCCTAACCAACAAGCAATGCGAGATATACATAGATATTTGATTTTCGATGTATCCGTATTTTTTTTTAAAGATTTATTTATTATGTTCAGTGTTCTGCCTGCATATATGCCTGCAGGCCAGAAGAGGGCACCAGATCTCATTACAGATGGTTGTGAGCCACCATGTGGGTGCTGGGAATTGAACTCAGGACCTTTGGAAGAGCAGTCAGTGCTCTTAACCTCTGAGCCCTATCCAGCCCTCGATGAATCCGTATTAAGCCATCAAAAGGCAAAGTTATTACAGAGGGAATTTGTCAATGGGCCCTTGCAATATAAAGAAGTCTATTTTTCCATGTCACTTTTTCTTTAAAATTTTACTAAATTTTAAAATTGTTAAATTTAAAATTTTAAAAATATTTATTTATTTTGAGACAGGGTGTCACTTTGTAGCCCAGACTGGTTATCAATCCTTAGAGGTCCTCCTGCCTCAGCTTTCTCGGTGCTGGGATTGGTTTTCATCATTTGACACCAAATAAATGAAGCATCCTGTGGATTTTCCTGTTTATGCAAGAAGTGAGTGTGTTTACTATTCCACTGCCCATCTGACTCCATCTTCTCTGTTCCAAATCATTCTTTTTCAGTGAACCCCTTGACAGTTCTTTTCACAGAGATTTGTTGAGGTCAAATTTAAGTTTCAGTTTCTCTCAACGCCTTCACCTGTTCGAATGTTTTATTTGCAGTGGATCAAACATCAGGCCCCGCCACTTGGTTAGTTTAGTTGGGGGGTGCTTTATAGACTAAAAGTTCTTGTGATGTAGGCTTGTGAGGTGACTCAGCAGGTGTAGGGACCTGCTACCAAACCTGAAACTTGATTGCTAGGACCCACATAGTGGGAGGGGAGCTGACCTCTGTACATTGTTTTCTGATATCTACATGGGTACACACAGACACAGACAGATGCACACACACACACACACACACACACACACACACACACACGGGGGAGAGGGGAAATCATGGTATGGTCTTCCATAGTTGAGAAAAAAACTAAACTGATTATAAACACATGCTGCACGCACGTCCCCACCCCTTCTCTCTTGTGGCCTGTGTGTTTGTATGCGTACCTGGACCGGCAGGCTGGACTGGGTATAGGGTTGCCAGGGCCGGAGACTCTGGTGACACCATTTGTAAGCAGTCCTGTGCAGCTTTTCCTTGGCTGAGGGGTGGTGACCGCAGAAATGCCCAGGTGCAAAAACAGGACATGAATAGATTCCTTGGTTCTATTAATATCTTCAGAAAGTCAGACTCTTCCTACGGAAGTATATTCCTGACTCTCGTCTCTCCCCGTTCATCCTCCCAACTCCCCTGCCCCATGGATCCGTGGTCTCCAGAAACGTCCGCTCTGATCCTTCGCCTCTGTTACCGTCCCCGACTCCTTGTTCTGCCTCTGTTATTGTGTCGTCCCCCCCACACCCCCCGGCAACACACACAACCCAGAAACTTGTGACTTGTGTGTGTATTGATGAGGGGGAGGGAGGAGGGTTGTTGCAGAAACTAGCATCATGGAAACGGTGGAGATGGCATAGACAGCTGCAGAGATCCGAGCCGGACAGACTGCATAAACCCTCCTCCCAAACAACTGCGCTCTCGGATTTCTTCTCTGGACAGCTGGGCCTTTCGGCTTCTGAAATACTTGGCAGAGACGGGGGAGGGTCTCTGAACTGTGCTTGCTGTCCATCTTCAAAGCCAAACACCTCTACGTACCGTACATGGAAACCCAGTGGGGTACTTGGTACAGCGAGGATGAGGGCAATAAACGAGGGGCGTTCCCTGCCGTTTTGAGGGCCAGGAGCTCCTTACTGAGAATGCGGGAGGACCGGAGAGGTCCCGAAGGTAGATCATGCAAGCTGGACGTGGATATCTGACTCGGCTGTTTCTTATTCTCTCCCTCTCTCGGTACCCACCATTCCATATTCCATCCATTCTGCTTATCATAAACACTCCCTGCCTTCACTCCTGCACCCTACGGCCACCGGTGTCCCTGGAATTTTGGACTTAGCTATTTTTAAAACTGTCAACTCAGTAGCCCCCTCCCCCCCCCTCAGCTGTCCAGTACTCGGGCCAGCCATATCCTCTCCCTCCCCCTCCCCCCACACCAAACCTTCTCTGGCTCTCTGACCTCGGAGAGACTGCAGCCAGTCTGGGGAGCTGGGAGAGACATGGAGAAAGAGATGGGGGACCCCTGGCTGCAGCAGACCAACAGAAGAGGCGACTGCGGCTGGAGAATCGGGTATCAGAGTAATGTTTGACCTCGGGAAACAGTAAGTCCAGACGAAACTGCAATTGCTTTGATGAGCGCTTGGGTTGAGGCTAGAATTTCATAAAATTACAGACATCTGTTCTGAAAACTAAGATTTCTCCTTAGCATGTACCCCATGGCCAATCCTCCCGCCTCATGGTTTTGGTTTCCAAGCCATGTCTACTTGAAGCGTAATGCAGCCTCTTACTGTATTGCACTAAGCCTCTTGGGGTGTGGGGTGCGGGCTGTGGGGACAGTGCTGAGGACTGAACCCAGGGCCTTGAGCATGGTAAACACTCATCTACCACTGAGTTACACTCCCAGCCCCCACCTCAAGACCTCTCAGACCTCCTGCAGGGCTCTCCCCCCCCCCCAACTCACAGACTTACTCCAAAGAGGGGGGCAGGAGAAAGGGAGACAGACCCTCTCCAATATCTGTCCCCCTCAGAAGGCCAGGAACTTCTGGATTTGCAAAGGGGGGCGTAGATAATAGATAATAGAAAGAGTTACTCTTCAGGCCGGTCTTGACAAACACGGACTGTTGGTTGACCAGGCAAAAACAAATATTAATCTGAATGCTTGGTTTGTATCCTGTCCTGTGAGAGAGGGATCCTAAGGCCAGCCCTCTGGAGCGCCTGAGAGACTGGCTCCCTTTTCATTGGAAATGTGACATTCTAGAAGGCACTGGTCTACAATGTTTGCCCTCTGTGCCCTTCTAACACGATGAAGAAGAAGAAATGGCGGGCGGTTGCGATGATCGGCACCTCGCTTTCCCCCGGAATGCCTCCATTTCTGACACATCTGCTATTTGGTAGTCGGGATGGGGCAATGCAGTGGACTCTGTCCCCTGAGGTCACTCACCCTTCCCTCCACCCCCGCCTAGCTCAGGTGTTGCTCAGGGACCTGAAGGTGGCAGGGCCCGGAGGCTCACCAGCCGCGCTCACCTCACATCTGGAAGCCTCCAACTTCCTGAGCTCGCCTATGTAATTCTTGTCTTGATCTCCCCAGATTCTCTCCACGCCACCTTGTCCTGTCTTCATCCCTTCTCTTCCCCCAAACCCAGTCAAATTTCTTTTTTTCCAGTCACAGAACTGCCGGTCGAAACTCACTAGGTGGGAGGTTCATCAGCTGGGAAGAATCGGCGCCTGGGGGGGATCTGGCTGGATAGGTATGGGGGATCGAGGCCAAGCCCCTAGTCCCCGGTCCCCCCATGGCAGCCCCCCAGCTCTAAGCACCCTCACTCTGCTGCTGCTCCTCTGTGGACAGGGTAAGGAAGGGCCAGGAAGGGTTGGGCACAGCTAGAGGACAGGCTGCCGGGCAGGGGTGGGCATGTGAGCACGGGTGAGTGACGGGGCATGAGTGCTGAGTCCTGTCTTGTTTCCCATGTAACCGGAGGAAGGCTACAGATGGAGTCCTTGGACTCCAGAGATAGGAGGTCTGACTGGCTTACACGATTTTTAGCATAGAAAACCAGGGAGCCGGGCGGTGGTGGCGCACACCTTTAATCCCAGCACTCGGGAGGCAGAGGCAGGCGCATCTCTGTGAGTTCGAGGCCAGCCTGGTCTACAGAGCGAGATCCAGGACAGGCTCCAAAGCTACACAGAGAAACCCTTTCTCAAAGAAAGAGGCGAGGAGTAGGAGGTTGAAGGTTGGGGCTGGGAAAGCGCCACGCAGAGTGGTAGGAATGGCTGGGATGGGGGATGCCTTTTGGCAGTTCAGCGCGTCCTGGACTTGGGTAGAACCTGAGTCTGGGCACCGTCTCACTGCCCTCTCCCTTCCGTCCTCAGCTCACTCCCAGTGCAAGATCCTCCGCTGCAATGCCGAGTACGTCTCGTCCACTCTGAGCCTTCGGGAAGGGGGCTCACCGGGCACGCCGCGTGGAGGCGGCCGTGGTGGGCTGGCCTCGGGTGGCTTGTGTCGCGCCCTGCGCTCCTATGCGCTCTGCACTCGGCGCACGGCCCGCACCTGCCGCGGGGACCTCGCCTTCCACTCGGCGGTGCACGGCATCGAGGACCTCATGATCCAGCACAACTGCTCCCGCCAGGGCCCCACGGCCCCGCCCCCGGCCCGGGGCCCCGCCCTCCCCGGAGCTGGCCCCGACCCCCCGACCCCAGACCCCTGCGACTACGAGGCCCGGTTTTCCCGGCTGCACGGACGGGCCCCGGGCTTCTTGCATTGCGCCTCCTTCGGGGACCCCCACGTGCGCAGCTTCCACCACCACTTCCACACATGCCGTGTCCAAGGAGCCTGGCCCCTGCTGGATAACGACTTCCTTTTTGTCCAGGCCACCAGCTCCCCCGTGGCATCGGGGGCCAACGCTACCACCACCCGGAAGGTCAGGGATTCAGTTTTCCTCCTAATCCACTTTCTGAAGTCCTCTCGCGGTCCACTCCTCATACCACTCCTGGGGCTATAGCCGCAGATATCCACCCAGCTCCTGGTTCCTTGTCGTCCCCAAACACGCCCTCCCATCCTGAATGGCCTCCTCCCACCAAACATTGGCTCTTGTAAACCGGTTCCTCTTGAGAGGAATGTTATTCAAATGCAGGTAACACTGAAGACGAAAGCTGGGGTGGCAGCCAGGACTAGCAGGGCTGAGGAGTCAGAAAGGACATTTTATTTTCGTTGGGAGTTGCTGAGATTGAGACAAAAAAAATTGAGCCAGAGGTTGAACAGGGGTCAGGTACTATTGGAAGGCAATAGGGGATGGGATGAAGGACGAGGACCGTGAAGACACCCTGCATCTGCTGGAGTCAGACCCCTGACTGTATATGCTGCTTGACTCCGGGGGAGGGCGCACTAAGCACTAATAAACCATTTTCCCCTTTTGCCGGCACAGATCACCATCATCTTTAAGAACATGCAGGAATGCATTGACCAGAAAGTCTACCAGGCCGAGGTGGACAATCTTCCTGCAGCCTTTGAAGACGGCTCCGTCAACGGAGGCGACAGACCCGGGGGCTCGAGTCTGTCCATTCGAACTGCTAACCCCGGGAGCCATGTGGAGATCCGGGCTGCCTACATTGGGACGACTATCATCATTCGACAGACAGCTGGACAGCTGTCCTTCTCCATCAGGGTCGCCGAGGATGTGGCGCGGGCCTTCTCCGCCGAGCAGGACCTGCAGCTGTGTGTCGGGGGATGCCCTCCGAGTCAGCGACTCTCACGCTCGGAGCGCAACCGGCGCGGGGCCATGGCCGTGGATACTGCCAGAAGGCTGTGTAAGGAAGGCCTTCCCGTTGAAGACGCCTACTTCCAATCCTGCGTCTTTGATGTTTCAGTCTCTGGGGACCCCAACTTTACTGTGGCAGCCCAGACAGCTCTGGATGATGCCCGAGTCTTCTTGCCGGATTTAGAGAAGTTACATCTTTTCCCCTCAGATGCGGGGCCTCCTCTCTCCCCAGCCACCTTCCTGGGGCCGCTTCTCTCAGGCCTCCTTGTTCTGTGGCTTGGCATTCAGTAAGTAGGCCAGCAATCCCGTGACTAGCTTGGAAACGATCTGAGGGTAGAGGCTGGTGTGAGAAGACACAAAGATGTGCCAAAGGAAATAAGTGGGGACAGGGAGATACAGGAGACAGTGACACCCACCTGGAGTCAGATCAGGCTGCAATCCAGGGCTGAAATGATCCCAGAGTAAGGATTCTGGGCCAGGGTTTTGCATTCCAGACCTTGGCGGGGGGTTGGGGGGTGGGGTGGGGGGGGTGTCTTCACCATGAATTTCCCCGGTCCCATCTGTAGTAAGCTGATTGTTCCACTCCACATACACCGGATATCACTCCTGCAAGCCTAGAGATTGCGAGAGTGCTAAGGGCCAGCAAAACATTGAAGGGCTAAGAGTTCTTAAAGGCGAGAGCTAAGAAAAGGAAGACCTGATTATCTATAAGGAAGCGGAGAAAATAATTAGGGGAAGTTTTTGGGTTCAGAAATGAAGCAGGCATTGCCTAGCTCTCAGACAAAGGAAGTCAGCCTTCGGAGACTATTACCGATACAGAAACCGGCATCCCCACCCCTTACTAATCCATTATTAAAGCTCTAAATTCCCCACGCTGTCCTCTGTCACCTGTGTTGAATCCCTTTACAGATGTGTGACATGGAGTTGAGACAATGTGTTCACTTCCACTGAAAGACATCTCAGAGTTCTCAGCCATTGGATCTGCCCTTTTGGAGTTCACCGGCTATTATTGGACAAAACTGATTCACAGGAGGGAATCATGAGTATTATTATTATTTATTATTATCATTTGTTGTTGTTTTTTTCCCATGGAGCCTCATGGAGCCCAGGCTGGCCTTGAACTTCTGGTCTGACTGTCTGTACTCCTCAAGGGCTGGAGTTGAAGTGCACCTATGTCTCGGAGAGTGTAATTCTTCACCCAATTCTATGGCCTTTGGATTCATGTGGGGAGACGGTGGTTGAGAACCAGGGTACTGAGCAGTAATGAAAGACACAGAGACGAACACAGAGACGACGCTGTGATCTGTGTTAGGTCTGAACAGTTCAGGGCTTTGCAGGAAGTGAAAACCGTGGGGAGTTATCCACAGAGTCACCGGTAACGAGGAAACTAGTGAGACTCCGAGGACAAGCGTGGAGTCATGAGAGAGAAGGCTTAGATAGGCTGAAGGAATTACAGAGCACCACCAGAGTGCGGCCACAGAGTTCACACTGACCTCCAACATTTATTTAGAACTTCAAATCTGCCAGGCAGTGTTGTCAACGCTTAAAAAAAATGTGCAATGGGGGCTGGAGAGATGGCTCAGTGGTTAAGAGCACTGACTGCTCTTCCTAAATGGTCCTGAGTTCAATTCCCAGCACCCACATGGTGGCTCACAACCACCCGTAATGAGATATGGTGCCCTCTTCTGGCCTGCAGGGACACATGCGGGCAGAACACTGTATACATAATAATAAAAATAAATAAATAAATCTTAAAAAAAAAGAAAAGAAAGAATGTGCAATAAAGTTATAAACACATTAAAGATGCGTGGAGCTGGGGAGATGACTCCGCAGTTGAGAGAACTTACTGTTCTTGCAGAAGCTCAGCTTCTGTTCCCAGCGCCCACGGTGCTAACAGTGGCCTACAACTCCAGATCCAGGGCATCTGACAGATCTTCATCCTCCTCGGCACCGGAAGGCACATGGTGCACACAAATTCATGCAGGCACACACATACACACGCATTTTCTAAGATCTTAAATATGTATCTATGCATTAAGGACTAGGCAGTAGCTTAGTAGAACACTGGAGGAGCAGGTGCAAGGGCCTGGGTTTGATCGCTAGTGCTGCAAAATAATAATAACAACAATAACGATTCTTTTAGCTTGCTGTGGTGGCACATTCCAGTAATCTCAGCACTCAGAAAGTGGAAACGGAAGGCTGGGGAGTTCAAGGTCATCCTTAGCTATATATGAAGTTCAAGGCCAGCCTGGGCTACGTGAAATCCTGTTTCAACCCTCCTTCTAAAACTAAACTAAGTAATGATGTTTATTATCCATAACTCTCTAAGAAAGACAGCATTCTTCTATCTGTATTTATCACTCATACACAGACAGAAATGGAGCGATCAAAGGCATGTACACCCAGCTCAGAAACCTAACTCTTAACCACTCCAGCATATTGCTGAGGAGACAGAGTAATGAAGGATTATGATTGTGGAGCCAGGCAGAGCAGGACTGAGGCCGTGGATGCCACTACAAAAGCTCCCTTCTGGCCAGGCACTGGCGGCCTGTGCCTTTAATCCCCACCCTTGGAAGGCAGAGGCAGGCAGATCTCTGTGAGTTTGAGGCCAGCCTGGTCTACAATGAGTTCTAGGACAGCCACAGTTACACAGAGAAACCCTGTCTCGAAAAGCCAAAACAAAACAAAATGTGCCCTCCTTTTCTCAAGTGTTGGGAAAGGTAAACAAGCCCAAAGCAATCCAGTTTGTAGAGGAGAGAAGGTACGCTATTTGGGGTACTAACCAAATAGGAAGGTGAGGATTCCACACTTAGTGTCTCAGCCCTCCCCTTCAGGTGCCCCACGGTCTGGGGTCTCCTCTCCCTGACCTGCTCACACATTCTTGGTCATCCTCTGTGGCTCTGAGTCCCACCCTCCTGACAACACACCCCTGTGCACCCGCATACGGCCCGCACACCCCTGTGTACCCGCATACGGCCCGCACACCCCTGTGTACCCGCATATGGCCCGCACACCCCTGTGTACCCACATATGTCCCTCACACCCCTATGCACCCACATACAGCCCGCACACCCCTGTGTGCCCGCACACCCCTGTGTACCCACGTAAGGCCCGCACACCCCTGTGTACCGCATACGGCCCTCACACCCCTGTGTACCCATGTAAGGTCCGCACACCCCTGTGCACCCACATAAGATCTGGCCAGTGCTTACCCTGTCAGCCCTGGCCTCACAAATGTCTTCTGCATTTTAAATCTCTTTTGGAACAGGGTCTCCTGGCCCAGACTGGCCTGGAACTCTGTAGCCCAGGATAGCTTTGTCCTCCTGATCCTCCTGTCTCTGACTCCCGAGTGATGATGGTGTTAACACCATGCCTGGATCTTCTGCAGAGTTCATCCGGTCTTCGACTCCTCCCTAGCAACTCTGCCCACTCCCTCAAACTAGTTTATGTTTTCTGAAATAACCTGTTCCAATGGGGGAAAGTGTGTGTGTGTGTGTGTGTGTGTGTGTGTGTGTGTGTGTGTGTGACTGTGAGTGTGTGAGTGTGCATGTAAGTGTGCTGTGAGTATATGTGTGAGTGTATGAGTATGTGTGTATGCATGTGCATTTGAGTGTTTGTGCATGTGTGTGTATGTGTGTGTGTGTGAGTGCATGTGACTGTGAGTGTATGAGTGTGCATGTAAGTGTGCTGTGAGTATATATGTGAGTGTATGAGTATGTGTGTGAGTATGTGTGTGTGCATGTGAGTGTGTATGTGTGTGAGTGCATGTGACTGTGAGTGTATGAGTGTGCATGTGTGCTGTGAGTATATGTGTGAGTGTATGAGTATGTGTGTGAGTATGCATGTGCATTTGAGTGTCTGTGCATGTATGTGTGTGTGTCTGTGCATGTGTGTGTGTATGTGTGTGTGTGTATGTGTGTGTGTGTGTGTATGTGTGTGTATGTGTGTGTGTGTGTGTATGTGTGTATGTGTGTGTGTGTGTGTGTGTGTGTGTGTATGTGTGTGTGTGTGTACTTTACCCAGTGCTGTACCTTAACCTACAGACAGTGTGGGCATTTTAATAGCGTTTTGTTTAGTTTTATTTTTCACAGTCTTCTGTAGGCAGAGCCGAGCCGGAACTTGCTCTTGTAGACAAGGCTGATGCTCCTGCTTCCACCTTGTAGTTTGGGGACCACAAGCCTGCACCACCATGCAGTTTATCCGACGCTGGGGACTGAACTCCGGGCTTCGTGCGTGCTGGACAAGTACACTACCGACTGCCTCCCCAGCCCCGCCAGCATGCTCATACAGAATGGCTCATTGCATTGGAGTTCTTACTTAAAGAGCAACTTTATCCCTCAGATGTGGGAATGCCAGAGAAGAATTTCATAGCCAGCTAGCTGAGAACATTCTCCCAGGCCCCAGTCACATCAAACCCTTCCTTTGCTGGGTCTCGGGAGTTAGCCCTTTTCCCAATGGGATGATTAAAAATGAGTAGCTCAGATAAACACAAGAACAGACGACCGGCACTATTAATAATAAGGAGATGCAAATCAAACTTAGAACCGCAATGAGAAGAGGCTGGAAGGATGGCTCAGTGGGCAGAGCGCTTTCTGCATAAGCTTGAGGGTCTGAGCTCAGGTCCCCAGCACCCACAGGGGTGCACTCGGTAACTCGTAACCCCAATCTAGGGGACCGAGACAGGCAGATCCCTGGGGACTACTAGTCAAGCGGCTAGCAGAAATGGGGACTTTCAGGTTCAAGGAAGCATCTAGTCTTAAAAACTTAAGACGGAGGGCCAGTGAGATGTTCAGTGGGGCCATGTGTGAATGTGGTGAGAAAGACTGCTACTAACATCCTTCCCAGGGAACACTAAGCACAGGCTACCCCTTTCTCCTAAGGCCCCATTGACAAAGAAACCAAGGCATGATTCTGCCAGAGTTCACCCTGGGGAACCAGTGAGTCAGCTGGGCTTCCTTACAGGGCGTAGTTAATTTCTGAGGATTAATGTACAGGGGTTCGGGCACTCATCCCTCACCTGCTGTACCTGAAAAGCCAGCAGGGACGAGGGCTTTTCTGTAGCTACAGAGAAGGATGGACCCCCCTCCCCTAGTCTTACCTAGCCTCGGTACCCTCTAACCCAGTGGTTCTCAACCTTCCTAACGCTGAGACCCTTTAATACATGTTGTGGCGACCCCCAGCCATAAAGTTATTTTGTTGCTACCGTTATGAATCCTACTGCACGTGTCTGAGCTGAGACCCCCAAAGGGGTCGTGACCCGCAGGTTGAGAACCGCTGCCCTAGCCCCTTCCCCGGATCCCGGTGTAGAGCCATCAGGTGTCGACTGGCTGTGCTGACAAGAGACTCTCTCCGGTCCTCCTCAGCCCCCCTGACCCCTAGGGGGTCCTGGTAGGGGGTGGACGGCCTTCTGCAAGGGGGTGCAGCTGCACTCCCCGAGATGACAGTGCCTGGGCTGCAAGAACAGCAGGACAGACTGACAACTTGATCCTGAAATATGCAGAGGTGGGAGGAGAGAACCAACTCCACAAAACTAACTGCCCTCTGACCTCCACATCTGGAGCCTACCAGATGTGTGCCATAGCGCACGGTCACACACTCACAGCAATCAGTGAGCTGGAGAGGCAGCTCAGCCGCTAAAAGCATGCGGCGTGTTGCTCTTGCAGGGGCCTCGGTTCAGTCTCCAGCACCACACGGCTGCTCGCAGCTGTCTGGAACTTCAGTTCCAAAGGGCCCTACGCTCCCCTCCGGCCTCTGAGGGCGCTGCACGCAGGTGGTGCACAGACATGCATGCAGGCAGAAGACCCAGGACCTGAAATAAAGCTTTAAAAAATCTTTACAATTAAAGTTAAAAATAAGAAAAAGGTGGCGACGCAGTGAGAAAGGCACCTGACATCAGCCTCTGGCTTCCACGTGCGAGGAGAGGGAAAAGGAAGGGCGGCGGCGGCGGCGGCGCACACCTTGAACCCCAGCACTCAGGAGGCAGAGACAGGCAGATCTTTAGGACTCTGAAGCCAGCCTGGTCTACATAGTGAGTTCCAGGTCAGCCAGAGCTGTATCCTGAGACCCTGTCTAAAAACAAACAAACAAAAAATAAATAAATAAATAAAAGTAATAAACCAGGGCTGGAGAGATGGCTCAGAGGTTAAGAGCACTGACTGCTCTTCCAGAGGTCCTGAGTTCAATTCCCAGCAACCACATGGTGGCTCACAACCACTTGTAATGAGATCTGGCTCCCTCTTCTGGCCTGCAGGGACACATGCAGGCAGAATGCTGTATACATAATAAATTAATAAAAATTAAAAAAAAAAAACACTACAAACTCAAAAATTTTATAAAAGTCTGACAATCCTAAATATTGTCAAGATGTGGAATATTCCAGATGTGGTAGGAATGTAAAATGTTACAACCACTTTGTAAAAAAAAAATTCCATTTTGTCAGGTGTTGGGAGATTTTCGGGGCAGGGGGGAGGGTGCATGTGTAGGCCAGGGTTAACTCTGATGGTCCTGTCCCCAGGAGCTGTCCCTCCTGCTCTGTTGTCTTTAACAGGACAGGATCTCCGCGGGCCTAGAGCTCACCAAGTGGGCTAGGCTGGCCGACCAACCAGCCCCAGGGAGAGCCAGCTGCCTGTCTCTACCCCCCCACATGGTTACAAATGGCACCAAATCCAGCTTTTAGAATAAATGTTT